GTTTCAGCCTTGTGCGGACCTCGTCTGCACGTGTGGGGGGTGTGGTGAGTGTGCATGTGTGGTGCGTGCGGTACATGTGTGTGCATGGTGCATGTGCACATGCGTACATGGTTCGTGTGCATGTGGTGCATGTGTGGCGTGTGTCCATGTGTGGTGCGTGTGTGCCCAGGTAGGCTGTGGGCTCCGTGAGAACAGCAGGTGCACTCTGAGGAGGTGGGTGCTTCAGAGGACGGAGGCCTGATTCCTCTCCCGTCAGGACAGGGAGCTTCTGGGGCGAAGACAGCGTCAGGCCCTGCCCTCCGCCATTTCCCCGCTGTGTGACTTGAGCGTGTTGCTGAGCCTCTCTGAGCTCAGAGCACGGACCCTGCAGAGCAGACAGCATGTCTGAAAGAGTGGCACTCGGCAGGGACTCAGCAAACAGGGCCCTGGTGTCACAGAGTTCTGACCTGCCCGGCAGCTGTGGGCTCCCTCGGAATGACTGTGGGCAACCTGTGTAACCTCTCCAAGCCTCAGCTTCCCCGTCTGTAAAATGGGAACAACGCTAGTCCCATCTCTCCCGGGGTGATGCTACAAAGGGCCAGGCACACAGGGGCTCCACGAAGGGTAGCTGCCCGCTGGTGCAGGGTGTCAGCTGGCCACAGGGTCCTCACCCAGCCTCCCACCCCTCCACCCCCACCCCTGCGACTCGGGGGGAGAAGGCGGGGGGAGAGGGGGAGTCAGCCCCCCAAGCGCCTGCCAGGTGGCCTGGGAGGATCCGCCTGGAGAAAGCAAGCCGCTGCCGAGAGAGACGGGTCCTCAGACGCCAGACAGAGCGCCCCCCCAGAAGGGTGTGACCAGGCCGTCGCCAAGGCCGCCTCTCCTAGGCACTGAGGGTACGGGGAAGCCAGCCTGGACGTGGGCTTTGCCCGCAAAAGGACTAACCGTCTCGTAGGCACTGGATAAGAACAGACAGCAGAGCAGCACGGGTGAGGGGACCGCCGTCTGCCCGGACCATGCTCGCCTTGTGACCGGCCAGAGTGGCGCCCGCCAGTGCCTTCCCCTCCGCAGCCTGCCTCCCCTCTAAAGAAGGAATCCACTAGCCCCTCCGCGGAGGTTAGATGACTCTATTTCACACGTGCCTGCACTTCCTGTTTGTGACACAGCCCCCACGGAACACAAAAGCATCAATAAATTATGGAAAAACCCGGGCGCCGTGATCATTTGCACTTTCTGAGGGGGGCTCCATTCAATCAGTCTCCCCCTCCCCCGCCCCGTACGTGGCTGCCTCTCCTGGCGACAGAAGATTCCAGGCTGTCAGGGAGCAACCCGAGCCGTCTCTCCCGGAGCTGGATTGACAGGCGTCGCCGGGCTGCGGGCGCCTGCGAGCTGACAGGCTCTGCGTGTGCGGAGCCGCGAACTCCGGGGAGGGGGAGTTTAATTTCCTTCCTCCCGAACGCAGCCTCTGCAGGGGAGCTGGCTACAGCACGTCGCTTCAGACGCCAGAACAGACGCTTTTTCTAACAGAAACATGTCCGCGTTTCGGGGACCGCGCGAAACGCCCGCGTAGCTAAGTCCGCTCTGCTGATGGCCGGGCCGGCGTGGCGTGGAACCAGGCAGAGCCGTGCCGAGCGTGTGGAGATGCGATGCAGGTGTGGGCGTGTGAGCGTCTCACTTTTCACCTGGTTACTGGTCATCGTGCAGGCCCGTTCTTTCTTTTTAATCCTCACCTGAGAATATTTTCCCATTGATTTTTAGAGAGTGGAAAATGGATGGAAAGAGAGAGAGAAATATTGATGTGAGAGAGACACATTGATCGGCTGCCTCCTGCATGCGCCCTGATCAGGGCCCGGGCCAGGGAAGGGGTTGCAACTGAGGTCTGTGCCCTTGACCGGAATCGAACCCGTAGGCCCATGCTCTAGCCACTGGGCAAAACCGGCCAGAGAGGGCCTGCAGGCCTGCTCTTGACAGACTGACCTGCATTGTCCTGGTGAAGTCTGAGCCTGTGAAACAGCCCCGCCGGTTTGATCAGGTGGCGTGCGTGTGCGATGAGAAGCAAGCCGGGTGCTGTTCACCAGAGGACACAGCCCGAGCACCGGCCCAGAGGGGAGCGAGTGCCGGGGCAAAGGGGCTATGTCCTTCCCTGTGGACGTGGCCCCCGGGTTCAGACTTAGAACCTAAATATGCTCACAACCTGCGTGCCACCCTGAGGAGCCACCAGCCAGGCCCCAAAAAAAACCTGAGCAACTGATTTTTTAAGAATATATTTTATTCCCAAAACCGGTTTGGCTCAGTGGATAGAGCGTCAGCCTGCAGACTGAAGGGACCCAGGTTCGATTCCGGTCAAGGGCATGTACCTTGGTTGCGGGCACATCCCCAGTGGGGGGTGTGCAGGAGGCAGCTGATGGATGTTTCTCTCTCATCGATGTTTCTAACTCTCTATCCCTCTCTCCTTCCTCTCTGTAAAAAATCAACAAAATATATATATATTTTTTTTTATTGATTTTTTACAGAGAGGAAATGAGAAACATCCACCAGCTGCCTCCTGCACACCCCCCACTGGGGATGTGCCCCCAACCAAGGTACATGCCCTTGACCCTTGAGTCTGCAACCCACGTTCTATCCACTGAGCCAAACCACTTAGGGACCGATTTATTTATTTATTTTAATTTATTTTTAAGATTTCTAAAAGGCTCCACAATCTTGAGCACCTTCAATCTTCTTCTTTTCTTGAAAGTCAAAACCCCAAAGTTTGTAATTTAAATTTTTGTGTGGGAAGCTGTTTGCAGTGGGGATCCTGCTGAGCCGGGAGCCGGACGGACGGGGCTTCTCCCGCAGGCGCCGTGCTGCCAGCGCCGGGCAGAGCCCGCGGTGCCATCTGCAAGGGGGGCTGCACACGGCGGCAGCCCGGCTCCTGCTGCCTCTCAGGCTCCGGCGCATGTGGGCCGGCTTGGGTGGAAAGCCCGAGGCGGCGGTGAGCACGGAAGTGTGGACAGATCAGAACGGCGGCAGCCAGTACCCACAGCCCATCAGGAACTGGGGAGGAAGGAGAAGGGAAGGCCCTCGGGCCCCGCGCCCTGGCCGGGGAGGAGCCGGGGGCAGTGCGAGGGCACAGAGCCCCCTTCACAGGGAGCAGCCACCCCCGCCAGGGCAGTCCTGCTCTCATCTCATCTCTGGCCCCGAAGACAAGCCCCCGGCTGTCAGTCAGACATCTGCAAGCCCCAACCTCAACGCAGGTGCGCAGAGCGAGGTGGAATCGGTCCTGGGAGCTGGGCGGCTAGCGCCACCCAGAGGCCAAATGCTGTCCTCCAAGTGGAGAAGCACGACGAGAAAAGGAAGGAAATTTGATTTCCGTAGTAGGCAGGGTGGGCAGAAGAAGGTTTCAGGCATGAGTCCATGAAAAGGTTTATCATTGTGTGATTTATTTTTGTATTATTTCCCATAGGAGAAGCTATAAACCCAGGTTTGCCCATCCCTGTATTATATTATGTATGTAGTCTGTATATATACACATGTATGTGTAGATGTGTACACAATGTATGTATATGTCTAATGTGTGTGTGTGTGTGCGCGAGTGTGTGTACTAGAGGCCCAGTGCACGAATTCGTGCACAGGTGCGGTCCCTTAGCCCGGCCAGTGATTGGGGCCAATTTGGGCTATTTTGCCCAGTCCTAACCCATCAGGGCCGATTGGGCCTGGCTGGCAGGGGGAGGAGGGAGGTGTGAGAGGGGGAGAGAGGAACAGAACCGTGGGAGGTGGGCTGTGGGAGCACGCTGACCACCAGAGGACAGCTCCTGTGTTTAGCATCTCCCCCCTGGTGGTTAGTGCATGTCATAGTAACTGGTCAACTATGGTCGTTCAGCTGACTGGTCTTAATAATCACTGAGGCTTTTATATATGTAGATGTGTGTGTGTGTGTGGGCATCACACATGACAGACTCACCATGGAGAACAGAAACTCCAAATGCAGTTCGTATGCAGGCAAGAACATCCCAGCGTGATGCCCGGGCAAAAGTGATGACCTAACACTAAAGTGCTGATCAGAGTTGGGGGCTTGGTTCTCCCCTTGATCCCAGAATGGTGAACCCCGTCTGCCTGGCCCACCTGTCCGCTCAGAGTGGCTGTCACCCTGAAGTGAGTGAGGGTCTTGTTCTTCTTGGGCGTGTGAGGGAAGGTGCCAGGGTGACAAGCCACTTCCTGGAGGGGGGGGAGGTGGCCAGGGACACGGCGAGGGGAGGCAGGAGGAGAGTCCGTGCGTCCCCACCAACCAAGTATCTCAGCGAGTTCCAGCGCGATGCTTAGAAACCCCAGGCTCCCTGGACCCCACACACAAGACCCCCAACAAAAGCCCCAAGTCTAGGCCCCAAGCGGGCCTGGAGCTCAGGGAACTAATCTTACTGAATCCATTCACCTCCCCAGCTGGCATTTCTAGAGGCACACTGCCCCCCAGCGGCACGAGGTGGATCTGCCGAGGACGGCTTCCCAAAGCCAAGCTCCTCTGGCCTCTGCCTGGGGCCAGGGCCCGGTGGGGAGCGGGTGGACCACCAGCCCGGAACGGAGATGAAAGGAGGGAAGTGCGGTGCAGGGGGCGGCGATCCCGTCAGAAACCTCGGGTCCCCACCCCCGGCAGCCGGCCGCCCAGGGCCTGGATTCGCGCTGTTTCTTAGGGTCGCGCCTCTGATCAGAGTCGGATGGAGAGGAAGTGACTGTGAGAGTGGCTCCCGGAGGCACAGCGCCCATTGCGGGGCAGCAGCCGGGGCGCAGGGGCGGGGGGTGGATGAGGACATTGGGGGTGTGGCGTGTGTCCCCCCACAGGCTCCCGGGTGAATGGCAGCGGCCAGCACGGCAGGGGGCTGTGCGGGTCCCCCGGGGGTCCCCCTGCCCCGTCTCCCCAATCGCCCCCTTTCATGGGTGCCCTTATCACCCCACTCTGAGGACCAGAAGCGGAGGCGCAGAGGATGCGGCCTGTGGCCGCAGGGGGTCCAGGTCTGTCTGGACCGGAGCGGAGCCCCCGGACGCCTCACCTTGACGATGAGTGGGTTCTGAAACATGGAATCGCGCACGACGCCCAGCCGCTCGTTCTCCATGCCCGGCCGGATGTCCGCGATGGTCAGCGGCCGGCGCGGCGGCGGGCAGATCTGGCTCACGGAGCGGTGCACCGGCTCCTTCGTCCATCGCAGGGGGTCGGGGCGGGAGCTCTTGGCCTCCGGCATCCTGGGCGGCCGGAGCGCTTCCTGCTGGGACCCCGCCACCTGGACGGGGGGGGGGGGGGGGGCGGCCTCGGGGCCCCTCCGGAGCGGGCTGCGCCGCCCTCAGCAGCCTCCTCGGTCCAGGGAGGCCTGAGGCCCCGATGGGTCCCTCTGGGTCCGCGCGGCGTCTTCTGGGAGCCGGACCGCGGTCCGGGCAGGAGAGAAAGTCAGGGCCACCCCTTAGGGAGGAATGGGATGGCCGGTCTCCATGGCGGCGGGACGCAACGGTTCTAAGTGGACCTTGTTTGTTTCAGGAACTATCGCCGGCGTCAAAGAGGCCGTTTTCAGATTTTTTCTTAAATAGGCTGAGAAAACCCCAAGAATAACCCCTGGTGTTAAAAGAGTGACAGGCTCCAGAGGGCCATTTAGCTTTCCAAGTCAAAGACACCCTCTCACCCCATGTGCGCGTGGGCACACATACACACACACACACACACCACACACACCACACACATACACACACTCCACACATACCAGACACACACACACACACACACACCACACACACCACACACCACACACACCATACACACACACCACACACACACCCCACATATACCACACACCCCACATACACACACTACACACACACACACTACACACACATACCACGCACACCATACACACACACCCCACACACACACACACACCACACACACACCACACACCACACACACTGTCTCAGATAGAGCGCTAAATGTTTCACTAAATGTTTTGCGGTGAGCTAGGAATCCTCACTCCAGGCCTGATGCTCCCGCTAATCCACTGGCTGAGCTCAAACTAGTCGCCCTCTTGGCTCCTCAGCATTTATCTTCCGTGAAGTAGGGAGGGGGGAAAGTCTGGAGTTAACTGTGATCCATGGTGCCCAACTTTGTGCAATAGAAGGAAGGGAAACTGAGAGAAGACACACTGAGCCAGAATACCTGGCAACGGGATCCGGGCATCTGCTTTTTAAAATACCTTCTCCCTCCTTCAGACTTTCCCCTGAAAAAGCTCAAAGCTGAGAAACGTTGGAAGAGTGCAATGAAAACCCAGGTAGATTCCCCTGGACTCACCAGTCCTTAGTGTTTGCCACGTTTACTTTCCCACTGTGACACACACACACACACACACACACACACACTGCTGAATTGTTTTGAAAATACCTGCAGACAGTATTATATTTGACCCAAAACACTTCAGCATGTATCTGCCAAGAACAAAGAGATTCTCACACGTAACTGTAATGTCATTATTATGACTTTAATGCAATGCTATAACGGTGCCTCGCATGCAGTCCATATGCAAAGTGAGATCTGCACTTTCTACTAGCTGCCCAGGTGACTGGTGCAGTGTTTTGGGGGCCACTAACCTGGAGGACCTCTCATCTGTCTTCTAGTTCCAACCTTTAGTGGGTTTATTCCCCCACCATTATCATCGGTAACTCCTCAACTATCCACAAGGCTCAGCGTGAGGAGTTCACCACGGAGCAAGCTTCACAACCACGGACCTACACCTCACGGCTTCCATGCCAACCGTGGACTACTGTAAGGTACCCTGAGAGTAAATACTAGACCAAACTAATGAGCCATTTAATCAATAATCGGCGACTGAGAGGGAGTAATGTCTCCAAATCTCCCGGTCCCGAAATGGAGGCAACATCAGGCTTCTAGAGGCAGGTGTCACAAAGGTATTGATTACATCTTTAGGTTTGGAATGAGGAACCTGGTTTGCAAAAAGCAGTTACAGAAGCTAAATTGAACAAGTTAGTTATCTACAAAGATTAATTCTAGTTTCGGGTCTTGGGACCACTGAGTCAGCGGAAACACATTCTCTGGAGCCACTGAGGCAGCTCAGAGTACCTGTGCTGTCCTGGTCTCCAGGTGCAGAAGGACGTGTTTCCAATGACCAGTAAGATCACAGTCAACGGGATATTCAAACCACAGACAATGGAGTATTCCGTCAAATGGGATAACCTACATAAGTTCAAAAATCAAAGGAACTTTTCTATTATTTTAGCAAGCAAATAAATACAGAAGCCAAAACAGCACGGTTCAAGTTAAACTGCAGTTTCTGCCGAAACCGGTTTGGCTCAGTGGATAGAGCGTGGGCCTGCAGACTGAAAGGTCCCAGGTTCCATTCTGGTCAAGGGCATGTACCTTGGTTGTGGGCACATCCCCAGTGGGGGGTGTGCAAGAGGCAGCTGATCGATGATTCTCTCTCATCGATGTTTCTAACTCTCTCTCCCTCTCTCTCTTCCTCTCTGTAAAAAAATCAATAAAATATATTAAAAATAAATAAGCCCTAGTTTCTACCTGAGATGATCGCTACCATGCTTCGGGACACCAACATTATTTCCGGAGCGGACCAGACAGCTCCCACTGCCCCTCCGGGGTGGGCAGCAGCCTGGGGTGGCCACCTGTGGGTGGGTGTGATGTGTGCTGGGTTTCTCCGACCGCTTCACCTCCGGACTTCCACAGACACGTGGTCCCATCAATGCCACTCGGCAGCTCACACAGGTGGTGCCGGGAGAGGCAGGAGAATGGAGTTGTGGAGGAGCCACGTAAGTCCTCTTGGACAAGTCACATTAAAGCCCTCGATTCTCACCCACAAGGGGAGGCCAGGGACACCTGGCAGAGATCACTACAACAGGTTAAACGAGAAGACAGGTGTCAGCGTGGCTATGTTCCCCATGCAGCAAGGCTAACAACTTGAGCAGTGCATGTGTCCTGGTCTTAACTCGATGGTCTGGTTAAAGCGTCACTCTTAATGCCAGCTACGTTTCTTCAGGACTCGGTTGGAGTGGGAGGACTGGAATAGGTTTGGAAGGCTCTTTCTGCCTCCTGGAAGCCCTCTACCTCCGTCAGACCCTGCACCAGCTGGCCCCTGCCCTCGGCTGAGGTCATCTCCTACCCCTCTCCCACTCACCGTGGCCCAGCTGCCCGCCTTCCTGCCTCCTCCCGCAACCAGGTTCAGGGTCTTGGTATTTGCCTCCAGCCTGGAGCCCTCTCCCCTATAGGTCTGCGCCCCCTTTTCACTCAGAACTCTCAAACTGTGCCTCCTCCAAGGGCCTTCCCTTCCATCTCAGCAGCAGGCAGGGTCCCCAGGTGCTCCACTTTCCTTCCAGGGAACCGGGAGCGGTCTTGGTCGGTTTGTTTATCTGTCTTCCTCAGGTACGGACCCTCACCACCTTCACGCTGAGACTGCGGATGGAGCTCAGCAGAAATCATTAAGTTAATGGGATGCATGAAGTCATTGGCCCCATACACACCCGTTATTCTGTGCTCCAGGAATTAAAATCTTTTTTTTAAAAAAGGGATGCAGGCATGAATTGCCAGCCCATGGAAGAATTCCGCCCCAACTTCTTAATTTTAGGGCCCCGCTCTCTCCTCCCCACCCCAGGGACAGAAAGGGCAGAGACCACGCCTCCGTCCCAGGCCCTCCGGCTGCCGGCAGGTCAGCGTGGCAGCGGGATGCCTAGCGGGACCGGAAGTGACGCGTACACTTCCGCTTCCGCCACAGCAGCACTTCCGGGTCGGGAGGAAGGCGGCGGCGCTCGGGGCCTGCAGGTAGCGAGCGGGCTTGGGTGCGGGTGTCTGAGCCGCGCGCGTGGGCTCCGAGGCGGTGGTGGGTGCTCGGGAGGCGCGGCCGGGCCCCGGGGTGCGCGGCGCCCGTTCCCCGCGGCCGCGCCGGCCCCTCGCGCGGAGCCCGGGCCGTGGCGCCGAAGGGGGCCGAGTGGGCCCCGGGGCAGACCCTCCTGCCCGGCGGCGGGGCGGGCGGCTCGCAGACGCGGACATAAACGCGAATCCGATTGTCCCCGGAGCCGCGGGCGCGGGGAGGCGGCGGCGGTTGGGCCGCGCGGCGGGCCCGGAGCGGGAGCGGGACTTGCGGACCTTGGACCCGAGGGAAGGCGGAGGCCGAGCTGCCGGGGCCAAGCCCGCGGGTGGAGAGGCCCCGGTGTGTCCCGGGGAAGGAGGGCGAGCTGGAGAGGTGGGCGGGGCCGGCCTGGAAAGCTTTGGGTCTTAAGAATAACGGGAAACCTTCACGTGGCTATAGCCGGAGTGACTCTATATTTAACAGGTTGCGTTGAATTGAAGCCACCAGAGGGAGAGGCTTGGGTATTCACACAAAAGAAAGAAAGGGATGGAAAGTAGAGAGTGTTCCGTGGCATCCTCTGCTCCGGGCATTGTTAGGAAGAGGCCTGAAGGGGGGCCAGGAAGCTGCCTGTGGAATGTAGGGCAGAAGGCCCTGCCACTCTGACCCGAGCAAGCTAGGGAGGAGGAGGGTGGGAGCGACAAGGACCAGGGCTGAGAAGTGGATGGAAGTGAGGAAACCGAGAGAGCAGTTTCTCTCAAGAGATGCTGCTGTGCCAAAACCGGTTTGGCTCAGTGGATAGAGCGTCGGCCTGCGGACTGAAAGGTCCCAGGTTCGATTCTGATCAAGGCCGTGTACCTTGGTTGCTGGCACATCCCCAGTGGGGGATGTGCAAGAGGCAGCTGATTGATGATTCTTGCTCATCGATGTTTCTAACTCTCTATCCCTCTTCCTCTCTTTAAAAAATCAATAAAATATATATTTTTTTTTTAAAAAGAGAGAGATGCTGCTGTGAGGAGGATGGACTTGAGGGGAGAGGATGGGTGCATCCTTTTGTCTCTCCTTCCAACTCCAATCCTATATAATAAAAGGCTAACCTGTAAATAAACCAAACGGCAGAACGATCGGTCACTATGACTTGCACTGACCACCAGAGGGCAGATGCTTAATGTAGGAGCTGCCCCCGGGTGCTGTTAGACCTGGAGCCAAGAGGAGGACGGTGGCATGTTTGCGGGACCAGGAAAGGGCATGTGTGGCTGGAGCACGGAGTTGGAAGGAGAGAGAAAAGGTGACGCTGTGGGGAGCATGCAGCAGTGGGAGCAGGCAGAGGGGTGCCATGAGCCTCGTGAGCACGTAGAATAGCATGCGATGGATAGTCAAGATTCCAGCTTGTCACTTGCCATGCAATTTCATTTTCTGTGATTGTGTTTTTCTCCTGAGGCTAATGTGTAAGATGCTTTGCAAATAAGCCATTGTTGTCAAGTTTCCCTCTAGGAGTAAAATGGAAGGCGAATGGAGCGGATTGGACATCCACACTCCGGTTTTCGACAAGAAGAAGAAGAAGAAGAAGGACAGACATCGCCTTCATGCCCATGAGAGTTCCCGAGATGCCCCCCTGGTGAGCGGGCACGCTCACAAAGCGAAGCGGGGGCAGAAGAGGAAGGACCGCCAGCTTCTCGCCGCTGCTCCTTTGAAAACATCGGAACTCGGTGAGGAGGCGGCAGAGGCCCCTTCTCCGGCCAGGAAGCGGAAGAGGAAGAGAGCTTTGGGGATACAGGACGGGACGGGCGTGTATGTCACAGTGGATAAAGAAAACATCGAGAACATGCCGAAGAACTTCAGAAGGGATGTTGACATCGTTTATATTGACAAGGGCAGGGAGCCAGAGGCAGCCGGAGAGCCCGAAGCGGACCAGTCGCCTGCAGTCACGAAGCGACGGGAAGAGCCGCACGATCAAGCCAGGGGGAAAAAGAAAAAGAAGCGGCGGGAAGCTGCGTCCTGCGATGCTGGGCTGGGGGGGCCAGGCCCGGGCGCCAGCGTCCTGCCCCAGCCGGGGTCCCCGCTTTCTGCGGGCCCGGGAGGCCCCGTCACACAGCCGCCAGGCGTCGCTCACGGAAAGAAAAGGAAGAGGAAGGCTGCACGCCGCCGGGGCTGTGAGAGTCCTGGGACCGCGGGCTCCGAGCGGCCGCAGGTGCCCTCTGGCCCGGGGACTGCGGAGGGCAGGGGGGACCCCTGCAGGTTAAAGAAAAAGGCCAAGAAAAGGAGGCGGAGGTCTCCCGGGGACAGTGCTCCCTCGGGGCTCCCCACCAGCTTTGAGGACCCGCTGCTTGCCTCACTGGAAGGTAACGCTTCCCCGATGGAGGCGAGTGTGACACCCCGGCCCCGAGAGGAGGAGAACCAGGCGTGTTCGGAAGCGCCGAGGTAACTGCTGGGCCTATGGGGGTGGGCCTGGGTCTGGGCCTCTGTTAGCACGCCCACGGGCATGGCAGGCCTCCCCGAGGTGGACACAGAATGGGCAGGACTTGTGCCGTTCAGCCATGTGACGCGCAGGCAGCTTCCTTTTGCACATATAACGGGCATGGAGATGAGCTTTGGGCTGAGAACTTTTCCGGCCTGAAATTCTGTAACTGACGGCATTGATGACCCAGATCACCTGTCTCTCTTTGCATGTAGATAGAAGAAAGAAGAGATGACCTGTAATGTTACTGAGCAGGGAAAAACTTAAATTAGGGTCTAAGAAAAGAAATGTTAATAGTAGTTATATAATTATCATTTAAGGATAGTGTCAAATGAATAAAAGCAGGGATTTTGTTTTTCAATCACTTTAACGCTCAGTTTCTGGGACTTGGGACAGATTCCCCCAACCCCCAAAGTTTACTCAGTGGCTTTCTTACACTTGCTACGTTGTCCTGGCTTAGCATAGTTCCACCACAGTGACGAGAGAGGCCCGCCTCGGGTGGTGCTGGGAACAGTTGTGGTCCTGCTTAAGTCATCCTCTGGGGCCTCTTACCCGGGATATTTTTAGAACGCTGATAATGAGGCAGGACTGGTCTAGGACTATGGTTCTTTCTCTTTCTTAAAATATATTTTTATTGCTTTCAGAGAGAAAGAGAGGGAGGGAGGGGGATAGAGAGTTAGAAACATTGATGAGAAACATCCATCGGCTGCCTCTTGCACGTCCCCTACTGGGGATTGAACCAGCAACCACGGCCTGTGACCTGACTGGGAAGCAAACCAGTTTCTTCTTGGTTCATGGGTGGATGCTCAACCACTGAGCCACACTAGCTGGACCAGGACTGTGGTTTTTAACTTATATTGGGCCGTGTGCCCCTAAAACGGTTGACCCTTAGACAAATGCACACCATTTTTTTCCAGTTTCCTGTCTGAGCAGTTAGTTGATACGGTTGAACATATGAAAAGGAGATTTGAACATCTGGCAGAGAGTTTGAGGATGAATTAGTGAGTGATTTATACATAGAAAACAAAGCAAAGGTAAATGAGGCCATTACTGACCACAGCAAAAATAACTGTAACCATGGAAACCTTGGATCATTTCACTAATAAAATTATTATAAAATTTAATATTGTAAGGGTTAGGGAAAGGCATCTTGGGTGTCCACGGGGGAAGAGAGGACCTAGCCTGTTAGGAATTAAATAAAACAATAATTGAGAAATAGGACTATAAGAAGTAATCTCTGGTGGAAACGGCTTAGAGTGCCACGTCTGCCTTGTAGGCACTTCTGAGGGATGAATCCAAGTTAACAGTTACTCCTCGAGTCCAGACATCCCCCACTGAACCACCTCTTGTCGAAGTGAGTCACTTCAGGAAAAGAATTAAAAAAACTACCAGCCGGTGTGGCTCAGCAGTTACACATCAACCCAGGAATCAAGAGGTTACTGGTTCGATTCCCAGTCAGGGCACATGCTTGAGTTGCAGGCTTGATGCCCAGTAGGGGGCTGGCACACAGGAGACAGCAGATGGATGATGCTCCCCTCTCATCAGTGTTTCTGTCTCTACCTCTCCCTTCTCTATAAAAATCAATAAAAGCATTTAAAAAGCAAAAACTAAGTGACGTCTCAGTGCTAATCGATCCAATTTCCCTCTTAGGTTAGGAGCTCCCGATAAAGAAAGCAACTTGGATTCGGCCCGAGATTGCGAGGCGCAGTATCTGTCCGAAGACTGGAGAGCCGCAGACGATGCGGACGTGGACGCGGACCTGGCCTCCGCCGTGAGGCAGCTCCGGGAGTTCATCCCCGGCATCGGGGCGAGGGCCGCCGCCACGATTAAGCGCATGTACCGGGATGACTTGGAACGGTTCCAGGAGTTCAAGGCGCAGGGTGAGCTGGGTGGCACCTCGTGCTGCTGAACGCCCGGAAGCACCGCCAGCCCGGCTTCTGTGAGCGGCTCAGATTCACAGATTCCCCGTGGCAGCCACGGCGGCTGTATCTCCATCTAGAGTTTCTTTTTACATTGAATTTCTCAGGGTTTCCTTGGTACATAAGAATAGGTTTCAAGTGTTCTTAATAGTACACCATCCACCCAGAATTGTCTGACTGAAATGGAACCAGTGACGTGCACAGGTTTCCCCTCTGCCCAGCTGGCCAGGGAGGCAGGGAGGACTGGCTGCAGGGACCAGGTCACCCACAGACGAGGTCATCCTGAAGGAAGGGGTGGCGGAGGAGGAATTGGTTGTGGCCTGGAAAGGATACGGAAGTGCAGTGAACACTAACTCCTCAGCTTCCACAGGTGTCATTTCTGTCCCTGAGACATTAACTGGGTGAGCGGGGGACGGGCTGGGGCCAGACAAGCCCAGCTTAGTCTCCTTGATCTCACTGTGTGCCGCCTGGACTTAAGAATGAGCTGCAGAAGGAAATTGGGTTCCGCAGCGGGACCGGAGGCCCAGCTCCTGCACACCCGCCGGGCGGGGACGGGCTGGCGCGGGGACGGGTGGCAGGTCCCTGCGTTGTCCTTGCTGAGGAGCACCTGCGAGGTTTGCCCGTACTCATTATTGACAGCATACACTTTTCCTCCCTCCCCAAACTCTAGGTGTCGCCATTAAATTTGGCAAGTTTTCTGCAAAGGAAAATCAGCAGTTAGAGAGAAACGTGCAAGAATTTCTGTCCCTGACGGGAATCGAGAACGCCGACAAGCTGCTGCACACGGACAGGTACCCAGAGGAGAAAGCCGCCATCACCAATCTAAAGAGGAAGTACGCGTTTCGGTTGCACATCGGTGAGTTCAGGCGTTCGCTCCGCTGCCCTTGGCCTCCCACCTTGGCGGCGACCCTGTGAGCACTCAGCCGGCGCCGGCCCTGGTGCTGTCGGTGCTGCCGTGGGGACCTGTGTCTCATTGGCAGCCTGTCTGGGGTCAGGAACCTGCTCGTGCCTCCTAGGCACAGGCTTCACAGATTCTAGGAAGAATGAACTGGCTGCCGAACTGGTCTGGCTCAGTGGATAGATGTCGGCCTGGGAACTGAAAGGTCCCAGGTTCGGTTCCGGTCAGGGCATGTACCTTGGTTACAGGCACATCCCCAGTAGGGGGTGTGCAAGAGGCAGCTGAATGATGATCCTCTTTCATCAATGTTTCTAACTTTCTATCACTCTCTCTTTGTAAAAAATCAATAAAATATATTAAAAAAAAAAAAAAAAAAGAATGAACTGGCCAACCTCAACATCTAGCTTCCTTGCTGGGTAACAATTAGGTTTTGGTTTCCCTTCCTGTTCTTCGCGGTGTATGTTTTGCATTTACTGCGCCAGCACCTCCAGGAGGCAGCAGGGTCTCCTGAGCATTTTCAGTGCAGCAGTGTGTGTGTGTGTGTGTGTGTGTGTGTGTGTGTGTGTGTGCGTGGTCACCGTAGCCGGCACCCTCCTGGAGGTGACGCTTGGAAATCAAGCATGAAGCCATAACATTGGCCTGAAAACCCCTCTCAAACCTAAAGGAGCTAATTTCCGAGGGTTGTGCCGGGATGTGCCAGGAAAGCGACCGAGCGAGCCCTGTGGAGGGCAGTTTCACTGCTCAGGGAGGAGGCAGGCGTACTCGTTGGAGAGTTTGTATGCAGAACTGCTGGCAGTGTCCCCGCTGGCCTCCCTCTAATTCACATTACGTCAGCATTACTTTGCCTTATGAGGATCTTTTCTGAGAACTGGGGAGGCCAGAGCTGGAGCCACATACAAAGTGTCCGGTTTTCAGAGGTCTCCAAGGCAACGGGGGATTGTGTACATCCGCTTCCCACAGGCCCAGCACCCCAGCCTTGCCCAGGCCCAGGATAGCTAGTGTTAAAGGGCTCTGGGCCCCTCTACCCCGGACCACCTCATGCCCCCCCCCCGTGAGCCCGCTGACCGTCTCTCTCTGGCTTAGGGAAGGGCATCGCCCGGCCCTGGAAACTCGTGTACTACCGAGCCAAGAAGATGTTTGACGTCAATAACTACAAAGGCAGGTAAGCGCGTCAGCGGCGGGACACGGCTCTCTGGCCTTTGCTGACCCCAACACCAGGTCAGGGGTCAGGCCAGCAGACTGTGTGACGGCAGGCGTGCACTGCGGTCAGGGGATGTCTTCATTTCCATCTCCAACTCGCACCTGTGTGGTCTCCCCTCTGTATCTTCTGCTTTTTCTTTGTTTAAAAAAAATTTTTTTTAATTGATTTCAGAGAGAAAGGGAGAAGGAGAGAGAGAGATAGAAACATCAGTGATGAGAATTATTGATCGGCTGCCTCCTGCACGCCACCTACCGGGGATTGTGCCCACAATGCCCTGACCAGGGTTCATAGGTCAATGCTCAACCACTGAGCCGCACAGGCTAGGCCTCCTACTTTTCTTTACGCTCTCATTCCCACACTCGCTGTGCTCTGCCTCCCTGTGCTCTGCAAGTCTGCTCTGCTGACTATAAGCTCCTCATGAGCCCCGACGTCCCTCTCAGGGCAGCCTCCCTGAGCACAGCGCCCAGGTCTCGGGTCACGTAAATATCGGAAAGTGGAGGTTAGTGTTACGTGTGAATTTCGCCTAACGACAGATTTAGTTTTAAAATGAAAAGGAAGCCAAGACTGGTTTGGCTCAGTGGATAGAGCATCGGCCTGCGACTTAAGGGTCCCAGGTTCGATTCCGGTCAAGGGCATGTATCTTGGTTGCGGGCACATCCCCAGAAAGGGATGAGCAAGAGGCAGCTGATTGATGATTCTGTATCATCGATGTTTCTAACTCTCTATCTCTCTCCTTTCCTCTCTGTAAAAAATCAATAAAATATATTAAATAAATAAATAAATGAAATGAAAAGGAAATTGTGACGTTCCCTTTGTCGCAGGTACAGCAAAGGGGATACGGAGAAGTTGAAGATATACCACTCCCTCCACGGCAACGACTGGAAGAAGATTGGGGATTTGGTGGCTCGAAGCAGCCTCTCGGTCGCCCTGAAGTTCTCCCAGATCAGCAGCGGTGGGTGTGGCTCCTGCCCGCCGGGGGCTCGCCTGGGTAGCGGAGGAGCCAATATGCCGGGCTGTTGGAGCCTGTCTCTGAGAGCCGTTGACTTTTTTTGTATTTACAGAAAGAAACCATGGTGCTTGGAGTAAGACGGAAACCCAGAGACTAATCAAAGCCGTGGAAGAAGTGATTCTAAAGACGATGTCTCCCCAGGACTTAGACGAGGTAGATTCCAGGCTCCAGGAGAACCCCGAAGGCTGCCTGGCCGTTGTCCGGGAAAGACTCTACAAGGGCATATCTTGGGTGGAAGTCGAAGCCAAAGTCGGAACCAGAAACTGGATGCAGTGTAAAAGTAAGTGGTAAGTTTTAAGGCGGCTTATGCAAATTTCAACAAGACCTGCTCTCTCCTCCCCCTCCCCAGCTCCACACACACACAGTTCCCGGAGGCTGGGTGGATGGGTGAGGTTTAGGAACACGTGGTGGCACCAAGTGGGAAGACTTCCGTGGTGAGAATTGCTGTTCCTTGGCTGCTTCGGCTCCCTCAGTGCCGGCATCGGGTTCAAGGTGGCACTTGAGTGGCCCGATCCACTGTCTGTCCTCCTCACTAGGCACTGAGGCTGTTGAATGACCAAATAACATGCAAGACTTGCTTTGCTTCTCAATCTGAAGGAAAAGCACTTGTAGCCGGAACATACATGGACTTCATGTAACATGTCATGACATGACCTCAAGTGACACACTTCAAACCAGTGTACGTGAATGGCTGTTAAAACACCAGTGCCATTACCACATCTCTCCCTTAGCAAGGAGGTGAATGGAATGGCTGCCATGTCCATCAGGTGGTGACATATCGTGCTGTGCAAGACAAGGACTTTTAAAATATTTTACAGTGGGCTGCTCCTCTCCTTAGGAACTTCCCCCTTTCCTTCAGCCATTGGCTTTGGGCCTTGGAGGAGCCATCAGATCATTCATCACTTTGCTCAATTTGTCTCCGTTGGTTTTCAGGCAGCTGCTCACAGTAGAAGAGCAATGTCCTCTGTTTACAAGCAACTAAACCAAGCGCCACAGCGCCCTGCTGAGAGGCCTGCTCCCCCCTTTTAAACTTGTTTGTTATGGCAGTTTTCTAACACGGTGGATGGTGGCAGATGTGGGCGGGGATGAGGTACAGGAGTTGGAAAGTGGTGCTGAGGAGGGAGTTTAGCTGCGAAGAATACAGGGAGCTTGAACGGAAACTGCACCTCTGACAGTGAGCTACACTGCTCTTTCTGTGAATGCAGGACAGAAATTCTCACCAAGAGGATGACGAATGGCCGGGACGTGTACCGAGGGGTGAACGCCCTCCAGGCCAAAATCAACCTGATTGAGAGGTACGGCCCGGGGGTGGCGTTGCCCTTATCACTGCCCTGGCCCCGAGAACAGCAGTGAGCTTGAAAACTGAATATTTGTTTTCTCATAGGTTGTATGAAATAAATGTGGAAGATGCTAATGAAATAGATTGGGAAGATCTTGCTAGTACCATAGGGTAAGTCCATCCTATATAATAAAAGGCTAATATGCAAATTGACTGAATGGCAGAACGACCGGTCGCTATGATGCATGCTGACCATCAGGGCGCAGACGCTCAGCTCAGGAGCTTTTCCTTGGTGATCAGTGTTTTCCCACAGGGGGAGTGCCACAAAGCCTTCCCTTCATGTTATCAAACCGTTTTTTGTTGTTATTAATCCTCACCTAAGGATATATTTTTCCATTGATTTCTAGAGAGAGTGGGAGAGGGAGAGACAGAGAAAAACATAGATTGGTTGCCTCCTTTATACACCCCCATCAGGGCCTTGGAAACTGCAAGCACAGTACATGCCCCTGACCAGAATCGAACCCGGGACCCAATCATTGTTTGCCTCTACATGCTTAACAGATAAAATTATCACCCTAACCACCTTAACTGCTAGATTAATTATTGAAACAAATAAGTCACACTTTCATTGTTTAAGAAAAATTGTCCAGGCAGTGAAGTTAGTGATTTTCACTTTAGAAACTAAAATTTGGTTGTTTCAGTCTTCCTTCCTATAAAGGGTAAGGTTATTTGGGTCACCAAGACATCATCAGCATCTGCTCTTTTAGCTTTAAAAAAAAAAAAAAAAAAAAAAAAATCAGGGCCCTGTGCCTTCCAGTGGTGACCAGTATATAACCTAAGCGTAATGGGGAAGTGGGTAAAATTGGGAGTTAAGTCACCCAAGTGTCCCTGCTCTGCCCTTTATTAGCTGTGAGATCTTGGACTTCTCTGTGCCTCAGTTTCCCCGTCTCTAAAATGAGGAGGAAGAGTAGTGGCTCCCTGGTATAATGGCCATGAGGCTTGTTGGTTGTAGCGTGGGAAGTGCTGAGGGCAGGGCCAAGTCCAAAGTGATCGACGGCACATGCTGGCTCGTGTTATACCAGCTGTACTGGTTAATAATGCGGATTTTTTTTCAATAGCTGGAGTTACACATATGTTGACATATATGCGATTTGATATATATGCTATCTTGTATTGACGACAAGCTTCAAAATTTCATATGTCAAATTTTCTGAAGGTGTTAACATCATGGATATTTTTATGCTTAAAAATGTCAAATTTTGTGCCAAAAAATGAGCATTTGCAGGAAGTTTTAATTCACTACTTTATTTTGAAGAAAAGTGCTGCTGGAAGTTACCATATACTTTGGGAAACTTATGGTGAACATGCTCCATCTCAAGGTACTTGTGAACGCTGGTTTAAACACAATCATGTTTTGATGTGAAAGACAAAGAACATCTGGGTCAACCGAAAAAGTTTGAAGGCCAACAATTACAAGCATTATTGGGTAAAGAAGTGTGTCAAACTCAGAAATAACCTGCAGAAAGATTAAATGTTGCTCAGCAAACAATTTCCGATTGTTTACAAGCAACGGGAAAGATTTTAAAGGAAGAAAAATGGGTGCCACATCACCTGAATGAAAGACAAATGGAAAACCGAAAGTTGTCAGTAAAATGTTGCTTCAGCGGCACAAAAAAAAAAAAGTCTTTTTTGCATCCAATTGTGACTGGTGATGAGAAATGGATTTATGTTGAGAATTCCAAACGCACAAAATTATGGGTTGATCCAGGTCAACCATCAACATCGACTGCAAGGTCAAATCGCTTTGGAAAGAATACAGTGCTCTGCGTTTGGTGGGATTTGAACCACGCTTTGATCATGAAACGACCAGAATGGGCCAGAAGACACAGCAGAGTAATTTTGCATCATGATGACGCACCATCACACACTTCAATACCAGTTAAAGACATATTAAAAGATCTTACCTGGGCCAGGCCCGGAGCAGCGGCTGCCAGGCTGGGAGCGGCCAGGCCCGGGGGAGCAGCCGGGTCGGGTGCGGCCAGGCCTGGAGCAGCGGCTGCCAGGCTGGGAGCGGCCAGGCCCGGGGGAGCAGGCGGGTCGGGTGCGGCCAGGCCCGGAGCAGCAGCTGCCAGGCTGGGAGCGGCCAGGCCCGGAGCAGCAGCAGCCAAGTCCAGAGCAACTAGGTCGGGAGCGGCAGTGACCAGACCCGGAGCAGCTGGTTGTGGAATGAACCAGAGCAACAGAGGCCAGGCCCTGAGCAGCCAGGCCCGGAACAGCTCGCTCCTTGCCTGCCCCCTCCCCACGGCTGCTTCTCAGACATGGCTGGAAACTTTCATGGGAACTTGAGGGTCTGCTGAATCAAGTGAGGAAGGCTTAGATCTGGATGTGTTGAGTTAGTTTAGGGCTGGGGTGTTGATCTGTGAGTGCCTTGGGTGGGGCCTGGATGAGGCTGGTGGACCTAATGGGAAATGTCTTTTGTGTGAAGTGTATCATTGGGCATGTGGAGGTATTATTGATATGAGAAAATGCTAAGTAACTGATTTACTATCTGAAAAGGGATTTACTATTGGGGAAAGGGAGGGAAGAAGAGACTGAACATAAACTGCACCTATGGATGAGGACAATGGGGGATGGGGAGGGGACAGAGGGTAGGATGGGAACCTGTTGGAGGGGGGAAGAAATGAGGAACCTTTGTAATAATATGAACAATAAAGATTGATTTAAAAAAAAAAAAGATCTTACCTGGGAAGTATGAACCCACCTGCCATATTCACCAGACCTTGCTTCTTCAGATTACCACTTGTTCCAATCGATGGCACATGCACTTTCTGAGCAGCACATCAAAACATAGGAAGAAGTGGAAAATTGGGTCTCTGAATGGTTTGCCTCAAAACAAGAAAAGTTCTATTGGGACGGTATCCACAAATTACCTGAAAGATGGGGAAATGTGTAGCTAGTGATGGACATTACTTTGAATAAAGCACTTTTGATGTTTCTCTTGAAATTATCGTGTTTTCTTTGATGACAAAATCCGCATTATTAACCGGTGCATCTGGTATTTTGTCTTCCCAGCTGGTACCTTAGATTAGTCCAGTCTAAACAGAACCCATCTTGTACTGCTGGCTTCCTTCCTTCCGTGTGTGTGTAACAGGGATCGCAGCTTCCCGTGTGTCTTACTTGCATTACTGCTCTGGTCCTGATGACTTCACGTTCAAGGGGAGGAAACCTCCTCAGACTCAGGTCTAGGCCTCCCCTCAGTCACTGCGGTTAGTTCTCAGAGCTGAAACGATCAGGTTTCAGACTGACACTAACCTTTCCCCTTTCCTTCCTAAAGGGATGTTCCTCCGTCTTACGTCCAAGCTAAGTTTTACAAGCTGAAAGCCACCTGCGTGCCCTTTTGGCAAAGGAAGACTTTTCCAGGTCAGTATGTGAGCGGGTGAGAACGGTGTGGTGCCGCGTGCTGGGTGCCCCTGGCAGGGACTTTGCTCGAGATCCTCCGCTCCAGCTGTCAAATGGAGACAGTGAGCGCCATCAGCCCTGCCCGGCAGGACCTGCAGGGCTGAGGCAGATGGCGACCTGGCGATGTGGTCAGCAGGGTGCTCTGGGCTTCGCGAGCACTCAGTGAATGCTCGTGAGGGCTCCTGGGGCTCCTGGGTTGCCATCACGTGCACATACTCACCCTGTGTGCACACACACACACTGCATGCACACACTCAATCCACCGCCTGCACATACACTTTTAGGAAAAACATAAGAAACCACTTCCTTCTTTGCAGCCACCTGTGGGTGGATAGATATGTGATTCCCAGACCCAGCTCATCAGAGTCATGTGAGGGGCATAGCGGCCCATCCAGACCTGCAGGATGCTCATCACCAGGCATTCAGGGCTGGATCTCCCGGACAGGCCACAGGAGTGGCTCAGTGGCTGCCCTGCCCTGTGTCTGGAGACCACTGGCTCGGGTGCTACTCTGCCCGGGCGTGTGAGGAACCGCGTGCATTCAGCAGGCACCATTCCCTGGGCTGAACCCTGGCCTCATCCCGACTGAGTCCCTGACGTCTCAGGAGCCTGGGGGCCCTCGTTTGAGAAACAGATAGCGGGCCTGCCTCAGGAGTGTTGAGAGAGTTGAGTGAGCGAATGGAAGCAAACCAGTGAGAACAGGGTCTTGCCCATGAGAACTGCACTGAGCAGGCGTGTCAGCAATGCCCTCTGACCCTTGACCTTGGGAAGAGGCTTTGCACGAATCACTTCAAAGGTCAATCTTTCTCTTTAGAGATCATAGACTACCTTTACGAGAGGAGTCTGCCTTTGCTCAGAGAGAAGCTGGAGAAGAAGGCGGAGAAGAGAGGCGCGGCGCCCCCTCCCGCGGCGCCCCGGCGTGTCTTCCTGTTCAGGGACATCTTCCACTGCGAGGACAGCGAGGAGGAGGAGGAGGAGGAGGAGGAGGAGGAGGAGGAGGAGGAGGACGGAGGCGGGCGGAGCTAGGAGGGATCCGCCTTGTGCTTTCTGGGTTTGGCTGTGTCACATCGAGTGTCAGCAAGCTGCTCTCTGCGCCGGCGGCTGGAATAGGCGAAGCCGTGGTCACGGGAGGCGTGAGGGTGACGGCCTCCCGGTGGAGCATTGAGAATGACTGTCATCGGCCGATGCATGTGTTTCCCTGTGAAAAGGAGGAGGAACATGTGAATTGACTTAACACATCTGTTCGATGGCAAACAAGTATGGTTCCTGTGGAACCCGTGTCCCGAGCCCCCAGGGCAGCAGAGGTGGGCGCGGCGTGCAAACATTTGCTGTGGCAGCGGCAGAGTGACGCCTTGGCCTCTGCTCTTCGCTTGTTTACGTCTGTGTTCTCGGCGGCGAGGTGCACATGAGCGCTGGAAGGAAGTTGTGGGTGTGTGTGCCCGCAGCCTGGTTTCCGTTCTCATGCACAGGGCACAGGTGCCCAGCTGGTCTTCCTGGGGGTGCGCCGGTTTGAAGATGTGCATTTTTCATACAGGATGTCCCTCGGAGCCAGCCACCGAGTTCATGTGGGGTCAGCTGCGGGGAAAGCTAGCTCTCCCTTCCGTTGCTTCCAGAAAACTAGCTTTGCTAGACGTGGAAGGTGCCACGTGTATGTTGGGCACACTCGTGCCTACCGGAGTCTCCAGCAGCCGGGAAAGCAGAAGCACTCCTGATTTTAAACAGAGTATTTAATGTCGGGGTCTAGGCTACAGAATTGTTAAGCAGGATGGGGGAGCAAACGGGGAGGTCGAATACCCAGTAATGAGCCCCGAGGGGAAGCCGCCTCGGCCTGTGGCCCAGCGCACCCCGTGCTCCTCCCCTAGTGAGTGGTCTGGAGCCCGGGCAGTTCCATCCCTCCTGCCACTCGGCCTCAGCAGGAATGTGTGTCTCCCAAACACAACACTTCTCCCTCCCCCTTCCCTCCTGCGCCTGTATGTCTCCCAGGTGTCTCCACGGGCAGCTGAGCAGGACCCAGCTGGCCAGGCTTCTGGCTACGTGTGTACAGGATGGAGCATAGGGAGGAGCATGTGGGTGGACAGTGTCCTGTTACAGGGATGTTGCCGTGCGTGCCAGAATGCAACCCCTATGCCCGGGTGTTCTCATTGCTGTCACTTGTGTAACATCATGCTATGATGTATGTTCATCCATCTGTGATGCTCCCCATTTCTCCAGACCTGCCATCATTGGAGAAGGAGGATGAGCGGGTTAGGAGTCCTGGTATCTCCCATCCCCAGCACCTGATCAGTGTGGTGTGGATAATACACAGTAAATGCTCAGGAAGCACAAGGTGTTTGCTTTTTAGAAAGCATTTTGCCCTCAGGCATTCCTCTGTCAAGCATACCAGTCTTTATGCTGATGGGATAGAAAGTGCATGTTCCTTTTGGAGGACAGCCTAGTCAAACAGCTGATCCTGCCCTAGCCGGTCTGGCTCAGTGGATAGAGCATCGGCCTGGGGACTGTCCTCTCCCTTCCTCTCTAAAATCAATAAAAATATATATTTTTAAAAAGACCTGACTTACAGCAACAATATTTTTATATATATATATCTGACCCCTAAGAATGTACCTATTCCGTGATCCTGCCCGCTGCTCCCTGGTTGCAAATCTCGTGGGGACCCTCAGCGTTTGGGGCCAGGGGAACGGCACAGGCATGCTCTGGGAGGGAGAGCGCCCCTTTTTTTACCTTCTCTCCACTGGAGTCCTGGCCTCTGTGTTGCATAATGAAGCCTGTAAACAAAGACCCATAGCTAAAAAGCATGCTATGGAAAAGGGTCACATGACCAGGAACTGGGCCAGGAACTGCAATAATGCCAAGTGGAGATTGTTGGACAACCATTGGCTTTGCCCCTTGGTCTTGTTTCTCCTGAGACAGGTTTCTTTTCCCCTCTTACCGCAGCTCACTTCCTGCATCTTCTCCTTCTGAGCGCAGGCAGTACCTGCGCTTCCTCTTCCACCCTTTACCCTCTACGCAGGGGTTGTCTGCACAGAGTTCCAGATGCAGCTGTGGACAGGCAGACCTGGTACCTGTTTTCTCCACCTGAAGAGATCATGGAACTGGTGTGTGAGAAAGGCTCCTTTATCACATGCAAAATAAAACATGCACATGTTCCTAGGAAACTTGGTTAATAGCTGTTTATTCCTAGAATGGCATATCCTATATAATAAAAGCATAATATGCAAATGGACCAAACAGCCCAACAGTGGAACGACCATCCAGACAACCATCCAACCATCTGGGACCACACTGACACCCACTGGTACCAGGCCAGCCGAGGTGGGTGCGATGCAATTGGTCGGGGGCCCGGCCGTCACCCCAAGATTGCCCCAGAGAAAGAGGCCCAGGCCACCTACTGGCATACTGCAGCGGGTGGGCAGGGTCTCCCTCTGCGAGGGATGCCCGGGTCCTGGGTGCTGGCAACCAGAAGGAAGCGGGTGCCAGCAGCTGGGGGAAGGAAGGCCTCCTGTATGATTGTGCACCGGCCTCTAGTTGTACAATAATGTTAAATGCTGACAGGTTTGGTTAACACAGAGTTTGTATATTTTCTTTTTTTTTTTTAATTATATTTTATTGATTTTGTACAGAGAGGAAGGGAGAGAGAGAGAGTTAGAAACATCAATGAGAGAGAGAGTCATTGATCAGCTGCCTCTTGCACACCCCCTACTGGGGATATGCCTGCAACCAAGGTACATGCCCGTGACTGGAATCGAACCCGGGACCTTTCAGTCCCCAAGCCGACGCTCTATCCATTGAGCCAAACCAGTTTCGGCTATTTTCTTGACTTTGTAGAAGTAAAAACATGAAATTGTGTATATAGAACCATTAAATGTGTGGGAGGAAGTAGCCCCACGGGGCTGGTTTTTCTCTGGACGTTGGGTTGTGAGCCTAGAGGTTAGATGCTGATCCGGAAAATGGGCTGCCATCAGGATCTGCAGCTGAAGGCCAAGCCCAGCAGGAGGTGCGTTTCCCTTTTTCACTTTAAGGGCTAATCCAGCTGCTGGGCCATCCAGGTGTGGCTTCTCCAGGGTCCACGTCATTGTTCTTCACACGCCCTGGCCCCGGGCACCGCCTGCAGCCTCCTGTTCCAACAGCCCTCACACCCACTCCGAGGAAGAAAGACCCTCCTGTGGCTCCTAGGCCCTGGGTTTGGTCCTGATGCCGGTGTTGAAGCTGGTGCCCGGCTCTGAGTGCTCACTGCACGGGAAGCAGGGGCCCCTGGAGCTGGGATCTGGCACAGCCTCCCTTGAATGGCGGCGGGAAATGGTACCCAGTAGGAAGGGTGCCCTCCGCAGAAGAGGTGAATAGACTGAGGAAGCAACCACAGAGGAGGTGACAGTGACTCGTCTACATTCACTGCTATGACTTTGCCCCAATAAACGTGTGTACTTGGTAAACGATTTTTATAGCGCTCACCTATGTCTCCCGTGCGCCTCTGGCCATACAAATGTTACCTTTGCCCAACAACCTTTTTGCCTCGGAAGAATCCAGAATGTAGGAGGGGTCCCTGGTGGTGTGGGATGGTGGTGCAGGAGGGCAGAGGGTGAAAGGGAACCATGGCTTTGATTTGGGATGTGCTGGGAAGAGAATGGACAGAGAGAAAGCCACTGGAGAGACAGATTTGTTATGTATGAAACGGACCACCCGGCTTAGAGGGTGGAAGGGCGGAAGAGGAAGTGCTAGTACTGCCTGCGCTCGGAAGGATAAGAGGATGCAGGAAGTGAGCCGCGGTAAAGAGAAGAAAAGAAACCTGTCTCAGAAGAAACAAGATCAAGGGGCAAAGCCAATGGTTGTCCAACAGTCTGGACATGGCTTTATTTCAGTTCTTGGCCCAATCCCTGGTCATGTGACCCTTTTCCATAAGCATGCTTTTTAGCTATGGGTCTTCATTTACAGACTTCGTTATGCAACACAGAGGCAGGGACTCTGCAGTGGAGAGAAGGTAAAAAAAAAAAAAAAAAAAAGGATGCTCTCCCTCCCAGAGCATGCCTGTGCCGTTCTCCCGGCCCCCAAAACGCTGAAGGTCCCCACGAGACTTGCAACCAGGGAGCAGCAGGCAGTGGCGGCTGGTCCTGGGCTAACCCGCTGCACCTGGCAGCATGTTGATCACGCACAATGAGCTAAGATGCAGCAGTGAGCAGTAAGATTTGGTGCCTGTTTTCCCAAAGGCTGCACAACCCAGCACCGTCTCCAGATCCTCTCCTGAAAGCCATCCCAGTCAGTTCCTCAGCCTCCACAAGCAACACACCAGCCCACTCCCCGCCTAGCCAGTGGCCAGAGTCCATTTTAGTCCCCACACAACTCGAGGCTTTCTCATCTCAGCCGGTACCCCCTTTCTTAAGGCTACCTCTTCTCCCCGGTACCCCCACATCCAATCCCTGAGCAAACACCCCTGGACTCCGTTGCCTCCACTGCCTCTAACAGGTCTCAGCATCCTTTCTGTCAGAATTGCACAGGTCCTGCTAATTACACATCAGCCCTTCTCCAGTCTGGACTCGCCACAGCTGTGCCATCACTCCCATTCCCGCCCTGTTTGGAAACCTTGACGTGGCTTCCCACTGCATGGGGAATGTTTGTCCTAGTGTCTTCCATCACTTAGCTTCGCAGCCCTCTCTCAGGCCCTGTTCCCCTCCCCACACACAAAAACTTGTTCTTGCCCCAGCTGGTTTGACCCTACAGATTGAAAGGTCCTGGGTTTGATTCCAATCAAGGGCACATGCCTGGGTTGTGGGCTCGCTCCCAGGAGGTGGCGTGCAGGAGGTTGCCAAATGATTCTATCTCATCCTTGATGTTTCTCTCTTCCTCTCCCTTCCTCTCTGAAATCAATAAAAACATAGATATATTTTTTTGAAAAACAACTTTTTCTTATTTTACTTTGTATTGGTTTCAGGTGTCCAGCATCGTGGTTAGACAATTATATACCTCACAAAGTGTCCCCCCCATATTTCCAGGACCCACCTGGCAGCATGCAGTTATTACAGTATCATTGACTA